TGACCTGGCTGAAGTCGGACGCTTAACCGACTGCGCCACCCAGGCGCCCCTAAAAACATTTTTTTTAATGTTTATTTAATTTTAAGAGAGAGAGACAAAGCGTGAGCAAAGTGAGGTGGGGTGGTGGGGGGCAGAGAGAGAGGGAGACACAGAATCTGAAGCAGGCTCCAGGCTCTGAGCTGTCAGCACAGAGCCTTACATGGGGCTCAACCCACGAACCATGAAATCATGACCTGAGCCGAAGTTGGATGCTTAACTGACTGAGCCACCCAGGTGCCCCGTGTCTCTTCCTCTTCTAAGGACACCAGTCCTACTGGATTAGGGGCCTTGCCCACATGACCTTGTATAACCTTAATTGACTCCATAAAAGTCCTTTCCCCAGAGATAGTCACATTGGGAAATATGACTTTAATATGGATTTTGAGGGGCACAGGGAGTGGGGGACCCAATTCAGTCCATAACATTGTTTCGCATGTAAAATCCCAGCAGCCTCCAAAAACTTAACTCATTCCAACATCAGTTCCAGATCCAAAGTCTCATCTAAATGTCCTCTAAGTCATGTAATGGGTGACACTCCAGGTACAATTCATCCTGAGGCAGAATTCCTCCCGGTCTGTGAACTTGTGGAACCTGGCAAGTTAAGTGCATCTAAAATGCAGTAGTGGGACGTGCATAGGGTAGATGTTCCCATTCCAAATGACAGAAATCAGAAAAAAGAAAGGGCTTGACAGGTCCCAAGCAAGTCCAAAACCTGGCAAGGCAAATGCTGTTAGATGTTAAGGCTCAGAAATAATGCTCTGGCTCCATTCTCTGTCATGCAGGCCCACTGGGGTAGCAGCCCTGTCCCTGAGCTCGGGCAGAAACAGCCTGGCCACTGACCACAGAGGTGACCCCCACCCTCTGAAACTCAGGAGTAGACAGCCTTGCCCCTGGGCTTATGGTGGCAGTGACAGCTCTGTTGGCCCCTTGGGGGTATGTTTCTCTTTTCTTGAAGAGAAACATGAGATATGTTTTTAGTGAGATGTTTCTGTTAGTCCTGTTTAGAACCCCAGGAATTTGAAAGCCTTTATTTCATCCTGTATGTATCCCCTTTGTTTCATCCTGGCAGTGTGTCTGCTGGTATAATCAATCCCATCACTATTTTTGGCTTCTGCTGAAATGGCTGATTAAATCCATAGGTAATCAGTTTATGGAATAGATCGTTGACTATACCCTTGGTGTTCTCTCTAGAACACACCTTCTCACTCTGCAATATGGATAGGCCTAGAATTTTCTAAATGTATAGTTTCTGTTTTGCTTAACAATTCCTTCTTCAGTTGATTTGTCTTCTCTCACATTTTACTATAATCAGTAAGGAGAAACCAGGCTGTACTTTCAATACTTGGCTTATAAATCTCTTTTGCTAAATATCCAGGGTTGTCACTTACAACTTCTACCTTCCATAAAGCAATAAAACAATTTAGCCAGGTTTTTTTTTCTTTTTCTTTCTCTTTCTTTCTCTTTTTCTTCTCTTTTCTCTCCTTCTTTCCTTCCTTCCTTTCTTTCTTCCTTTTTTTTTTTTTTTTTTTTTTTTTTTTTTTTTTTTTTTTTTGCCATTTTCTAACAAGGATTGCCTTTCTTCTGGTTTCCAATAACATGTTCCTCATTCCCATCTGAGTCAGAGCCAGAGCCAGAGTCACTGTTAATGCTCATATTCCTACCAACAGTCCCTTCAAGGCAATCTAGGGTTTTGCTAACATTGTGCTTTAAAACTTCCAGAGCTTTTACAATTACAACTCCAAAGCCACTTACACATTTTTATATATTGTCACTGTAACACACCACTTCACAGTACCAGAATCTGTATAAGCAAGGGTTTTCTAGAGAAACAAGCAATGGCATGTGTATATATAGAAAGAGATTAATTGTAAACAATTGGCTTGGGTGAATTGAAGGCTAGCAAGTACAAAATCTGCCATATGAGGTGACAGACTGGACACTTGGGAGAGCTTATGGTGCAGCTGAGGTCTGAAAGCATACTGCTAGGGAATTCTCTCTAGCTTGGGGAAGATGGCCTTTGTTCTCTTCAGACCATCAACTGATTGGGTGAGGCCCACCCACATTATGGAGGTAATCTACTTACTCATAGTCCAGCAATCTAAATGGCAGTGTCATCCAAATACACCTGCCAGACTGACCTACAAAATTAACCATCACAGCAGGTAATGATAGTAGTCTGGATGGGAGTAAAGAAAGGATAGCAGGAATAGAGTTAAAAAAGAAATCTATATAAGGGTGCCTGGGTGGTTTAGTTGGTTAAGCATCCAACTTCGGCTCGGGTCATGAGCTCACGGTTTGTGAGTTCAAGCCCTGCATTGGGCTCTGTGCTGACCACTCAGAGCCTGGAGCCTGCTTCGGATTCTGTGTTTCTCTCTCTCTCTCTCTCTCTCT